CAGGAAGGAACTGTCAGTTTTACATTGGCCTTAAATCCACAGAGTTGCTCCATTCAGGCATTTCTGTAATGCCTGAGGAATGGGGAAGTGGAGAGTAATAAGGGAAACCAAATATTATTTGAAGGAGTTGAGTATTTTTAGAATAAATGAGCTTCTTCAGGCTTCGTTTCTGTCCTTTCCTCTTGCTGGGGCGGTTTGTGCTTCACATCAGGGCATGAACTGATTTACATAAGTAAATGTCCTGTAAATGTGACATTTATGTTATTATTATTAATATTTTAGTGTAATTTGTGTGTTTATTGCACTCACTGATGTGCAGCTGAATTGGGTTGGCTCTACTGAGCAAGACACTCCATTTCCATGCCTGTTCCCTGGGCATCTCCCTCTCTCTGTGCAGGGAATTCACATCTTGAAGGTTTGGAGGTGTCACCCACCCTGTGGGGGCTCCAGCAGCCCCTCTTGCCCCCCATCCCCAGGCAGGGAGAGCTTGGTGGCGTTGTTCATATTAGGAGCTCAATGCCCTGGCATAATGAGCTGGGATTAGACAGGAGAAGGGATGGCAGGGTGTGAAGGTAGCTCAGCCCTGCCCTTCCCAGCAATCAGCTCCGTGGGGTGGATTTGGGGATAAAGTGCTCATTTAGAAGCAGGAGCTGGTGGAGAGGCAGCAAAACGTTGCTCTGTGCTGCCTCTGTTCAGCCTTGGAGAGAGAAATGGCCTCTTTTTTTTATTTTCTTTTCCCCTGAATAAACTCCTTTCTGCCAGGCTGAGCTCCTGGCTGCGGTGGTGGACAAAGATGTGCTGTGTTGGGGCTGCTGCCAGGAAACTCCACGTTTGCAGCCCCATGAAAAAGCCCCTTGTGAAGGGCATGTGGCTGAACGTGTCTGGCAGGGGGACAGGGCTGGGGCTGCATCCTGGGGGGCTGTGCTGGGGCTGGGGGAGCTGCTGGGACCTGTCTGTCATCTGTTAGTCTTGTTGTTCATTAACAAGAAGCAAAGGTAATGATGTCTCATCATGCCACAGTTTGTGAGAGGCAGAAATGGGTGTGCTGATGGTGGTGACATCATCCTTCCCTGCAAGGAATGCCTGGGGGTGAAGGGGATAGATGGCCTGCAGGAAGGTCCCTCCCAGGCTGGTGTTTTGTGTCCTTGGTGGGAAGTGCTATCCCAGCGGCCTGGCAGGATCCTTGGGTGCTTGGCAGCTCTGTGCCAGGCCCTATCCAGCTGGGAGAGGTGTATGAACCAGCTCTTGCCCTGCTCTGCCCTTGCTCCCTGTTTGAGGCTGGCAGGGACCTCTGGAGCTCATCTGGTGCCCCTGGAGGAGGTGGCTCAGGGCCACATCCAATTGGGTTCTGGGTATCTCTAAGAGTGGAGACTTGACCACCTCCCTGGACAACCCATGCCAGCGCTTGGTCACCTCACGGAGAACAAGTGTTCCCTGATGTCCAGAGGGACCTTCCTGTGTATCCATGTGTGCCTGTGGCCCCTGGTCCTGGGCACCTCTGGAAGAGCCTGGCTCCATCCGCATGGCTCCATCCCACAGGTGCTTGTACACCAGGGTGAGATGTGCTCCATCTGAGCATTCCCAGCCTCTCCCTGAGGAGATGCTCCAGTCCTTTCCCCTTGGTAGCCCCTCACTGGTCTCTCCCCAGTCTGTCCCAGTCTCTGGCACTGGGGAGCCCAGTGCTGGACCCAACATTCCAGCTGCTCCAAAAAACCCAAAACCCAAGGAAAAAAGCGTTTCCCTGAAATCCAAGCTGCCTTTAGCCTCTTTATCAGCACCATCTCCGGAGGTTACAATTCCCCTGGGATGTGCTGTCTAAGCCTTGTGGTTTGTAATGAATGAACTCTAGAATTGCCCAATTCTGGATAACAACCAATTGGGAACTCCCTCTCCCTGTTCCTCTGGCTTGTAGGACTGTTCCTCCCTGCTTTTTCCAGGAGGGATGAGCAGGGAGCTGTCACTGGAGGTGATGCCTCCTCGCAACCCTGGGATATCATCCTGAGTTTGGATTTGGTTTGTTTTTTCCTGCTGTGACATGAAAGCTGATGCTGGGAGGGGTTGTTCCTTGTCCTGCTGGGAATTCCTGTGCTTCCTCCTGTAAGGGCTGGTGTGTTTCCTGCAGGCAATGGAGTACCAGGGCTGGGCAGATACGTTCTTCCTCGTGCAGTTTACGCTATCCTGTGTGATGGGGTAAGGATGTGGATGCTGGGGTGGGTGCAGGGGAGGCATCTCTGTTCCAGAAGTTGGGAATTTTGGTGTCCTATTATTATTAAACATCAATATCTTCAGACCTTAGACACCATTTCTGAGAGCTGTGGCAGGTGGGAATTATCTCCTACTCTGCTTCAGTGCAGGTTTAGCCAAGAAAGTGGTGGTATAAATCTGCTGGAGAAAGGAGGGGAAAGGATCATGGAATCCTGGAATGTTTTGTGTTGGGAAGGACCTTTTAAAGCTCATTTGGTTCCAGCCCCCTACCCTAGGAAGGGACACCTTCCATAGCCCAGGGTGAGGGGATGAAGGGCAATGCCTTCATGCCCTGATGAAGGCTGAGGGGATGAAGGGCAGTTCCAGAGGCTGATGTTGGATCTTCCTCCACAGGTTTATTCTGATGTATTCCACAGTCCTTTGCACTCAGTATAACTCTGCTCTCACAACTACAATAGTTGGCTGCATTAAGGTGAGTGACTTTCCCTGCTCCCAGGTGAGCTGTCAGGTGAGCACCTCAGTCCTATCATATCAGAGAGACATATCAGAGACTGTTCAGGGGTTGGAATGGAGCTTAGAGATCATCCAGTCCCAACCGTCTGCCCTGGGCAGGGACACCTTCCACCAGAACAGGTTGCTCCAAGCTTCATCCAACCTGACCTGTAACACTCCCAGGGATGGAGCAGCCACAGCTGCTCTGGGCAACCTGTGCCAGTGCCTCAGCACCCTCACAGGGAGGAATTCCTTCCCAATATCCCATCTGTCCCTGCCCTCTGGCAGTGGGAAGCCATTCCACTTGTCCTGTCACTCCATGCCTTGTCCCAAGTCCCTCTGCAGCTCTCTTGAAGCCTTTTTAGGTACTGGAATGGGCTCTGAGGTCTCCCTGGAGTTTCTCTTGTCCAGGCTGAACACCTCCAGCTCTCAGCCTTTCACAGTGTCATACAATGTTAAGGGGCTGGAATGGACCTTAGAGACCATCCAGCCCCAACCCCCTGCCCTGGCAGGGACATCTCCCACCAGAACAGGTTGCTCAAGGCTTTAGCCAACCTGGCTGTGAACACTGCCAGGGTTGGGGCAGCCACAGCCTCCCTGGGCAACCTGTGCCAGTGTCTCATCACCCTCAGGGAAAACTTCTGCCTAGCATCTAGCCTAAATTTCATTGTTCCTTGGGAATGGGGGTGGCATTAACCAACTGCTGTAACCCCATGTCCTATTCCACACTCTGCATCCCAGGTTCCCCTTTCCATACGGCAATGCCCTTGGCTCAGGCTGTACAGCAATTTGTGCTCTTACGCCTCAAATGTTGTTCTTTGCAGAATATTTTAATAACCTATATTGGAATGGTTTTTGGAGGAGATTATATTTTTACATGGATGAACTTCATTGGTCTAAATATCAGGTAAGGATATTATATATTTGTGGTTTATTTATGATTTATATGTGAATATTGGGGTGAAACAGATGATCCAACTGATTCAATGGGTTTTGTTCCAAAATAAAAGCATGGAAGTGATAGTTGTGCTTGTTTGGACTCTGGGGAGCTCAGACTTGGCTCGTTTTAAAGCCAGGAGAGTATTTTAGCAGCAAACTTGAGTTTTCTCTGAGTTGCCAACCACAGTCATAGAGTTAATATGGAATAGAACATAGAATGTTCTGTAGAATTACCCCTCAAAAAAAGAGTAATTTTGGTTATTTCTCCCAATATTTATTATTCAGCTTTTGGAGAAGTCTCCCTAATCTAGGGTGACTTGGCTCGTTTTAAAGCCAGGAGAGTATTTTAGCAGCAAACTTGAGTTTTCTCTGAGTTGCCAACCACAGTCATAGAGTTAATATGGAATAGAACATAGAATGTTCTGTAGAATTACCCCTCAAAAAAAGAGTAATTTTGGTTATTTCTCCCAATATTTATTATTCAGCTTTTGGAGAAGTCTCCCTAATCTAGGGTGCTCCTTGTCCCATGAGAACAGAATTTGAGAAGCAAATGTCAAGGGATGGAATGGATCCAGCATAGGCGAGGGACAGGCTAGCAGGGGAGGAATTAAATGCAATCCCTGGGGTTAGGAGGGGAACAGGGGATTTTCCTGCCAATTGATGCTTGCAGCAGATCTTTGTCCCATGGTTCTGGCTTTCCCTTGGAGCTGGTGTCAGTGCATGCCCAGGGCAGGGTTGCGTGGCTGATCCATGATCCAGGTTCTCTCATTCCCAACCCTCTCTTGCAGTATTGCTGGAAGCCTGGTGTATTCCTACATCACTTTCACCGAGGAACAAATGAGCAAGGAGGCTGATGCTGGCAGCAAGCTGGATATTAAAGGAAAAAGCTCTGTGTGAGCAGGGAAAGGCTTTTTATGGGGGGAGAAACAACCTCTTTCTGCTCGGCTGATCACGGGCAGAATGCAGGAAGCGTCGAGGCCCCTGCCAGGAGCCACAGTGATGCTCTTAATTTGCACAAGCTAGATTGCTGCCTTTACAAATCCTTGGGAAGAGAACTGCCTGCACGGCGAAGAATGCAGCTAATTAAGGTGAAGAATGCAACTAATTAAGGTGAAGAATGCAGCTAATTAAGGCTGATCGTGAGGAATTAACGGGTTCTAATCACGCAGTGGAGATCGGCACAAGCAGAGGACTGTGGCAGCTCTGAGGGACGTGCCTGGAGAATACTTGGCTGGATCTGCTCCTGGGGTGGATGCGGGGCTGGATCTGGATCTGCTCCATGCCCCCAGCCTGGTCCCTGTGGCTGCTGCAGGAAGGTGAGGTCATGGGACCTGGTGTGTGTGCAGCCCTGAGGTGAGCTGACCACACAAGAGTGAGCCCTGGTGTTCCCCTGGAACATGCAGGATGCTTCTGGTTTGTTCCAAAACCTCCATGGGAGTATGTTCACTGTTCTCTGAACTTCAATTCCAATTGTTATCTGCTTTGTTTGTCCCATTAACCCACTGTTAAAGCCGGGTTTGCCCTCCTTGGTTTAGTAGAGCCCTGCAAGCATTTCCCTCCTCTTCTTTCCTGCTTTCCATGGCTCAGGGACATTCCCAACTGGAAGGTTTTGCCTGCCACTGGTGAGCTAATCCCACAAACCACCCTGGAGTCAGAAACCTTTGGATTTGGGAAAGCTCTCTGGGCACTTTGGATCCAACAGGGAGTAGCTACAGGGCTTCCAGGAGAGCTGACCTCATCCCACCTGGCACACAGTGCCTCCTCCCAGGAAAGTTGACCGCATTCCACCTGGAAAAGCTGCTGCAAAGCACAAGCTCCTGCCTCTGAAATCCCCATCCCACTCACCACACACTTGGGAGAGGTGCAGGGACTTAAATTGGCTTGTTTTGGCAAGTGGAGGGGGTCAAGCCCTGTCCCAGAATTGGTGTTTTTCATGGAATAATTCATCCTGAATTTGTGACCTATTACAGGAACAGGGTTTTTAATATATGGATTTTTAAGGTTGTCTTACACAGCACTTCTTCCCAGGTCTCTCCTTGCTTTGTCTTTTGGTTTAAAAAGGATTGATTGTCATCTTGGCTGCAAAAATGTTGGTAAAATGATGTACTGATGAGGGTTTTTAAGCAGGAAAACAGCTCCTCTATCCCTGAGATCTGCTGGAACTGTAAGTGTGGTTGGGCAGAGCTGCAGTTCATGGAATTTAGTGGTGACAGAGACCATGATGGTGCTGCAACAGCCTGATGTGCTGGTAAAGGTGTGGAGTGAGTCTGCTTGCCAAAACATCCCACTCCTGGAGCTATTCCAATCCAGGATCTTCCCTTTTTTGGGGGGCATCAGTGTGGTCAGTGCAGCAAGGGATGAGTCAGGGTGTCCTGGAGCAGCTCCTCAGCACATTCCACTTCAGAGCACAGAATAGGAGAAAGTGAAAGAATTCCCTGATTATTTGTGTCTCTTCCCAAATTTTGGTAAAACCTTGGGTTTTCCACCAGGGAAGAGAAGGTGATAAACACCTCCTGCTGTGCAGAGCCCCCAGAGCTCCCAGACACAGCCCCAGGAGGGGTCCATGTGCTGCTTCCCAGTAGCCTAAAGCTCTGCCTTCCTCACACTTGCTTCAACAGGAACATTCCCAAATCCCTTTTTTCCATGTGTGCTCTGACTCTGCGGTCAGGATGTCAGTTCTGTCAAAGGCTTTTGTGCTGATTTGATGTTTATTTTGGAATCTACTGGTTAGATTTGGTGTCCTAACAGCAAAGTGGTTTTAATACTTATTTGGTCCATGTCAGGGTGGGGATGGATCCTACACACTGGGAAAGCCAAGAGCTCCTCTAACAGTATTTTCTATGCTATTAATTGCCTAAAATAATGTTTTCTATAGAGAATCTATTTACAAAGTGAGCATTTCAGTGATAAAAACGGCAAACCTTTTAATCTTTAATGTATGGCAGGCTGTGAGTGTCAGGAATGAGAGCAAGGAAGGATTTTATGTGCCTCTGTACTTTTGTATTTGCTTCCAATAAACCAATGAACCAAACCTGTTCCTGCCTTCTCCCTCACTTCCCTGCAGGAAAAGGCCTCTGGAGAGGATGGAGGTGTTAAGGTGAATAAACAGGGGTGCAGGGAGCTCCCAGGTCATAGCAAGTCTGTGGCGTGGGGCCTCTGGTCCATGGGGAGGAATCAGGGGCTCTCCTGAGTTTTCCAGCTTTAAATATTCCTTGGGAAGGGAAGAGGGATATGTGACCATCACCTAGTTTTTGGGGAATGAAGGAAACAGTTTAAAGTTGAGCCAGAAAAGGGGATTTTGTTTCCATGGGGTTCACTGCAGCAGTAAGGT